AAGCACAGGCCAAAGCCCTTTTCTGAAGGCAGAAAATGTAGGCAGATTGCTTTAGACCTTCCTGGAGGAAAAAAAAAAAAGACTGGTACTTTGATTCCTTCCAGCTCTTTTTAATTTAGCTCGACTTTGTCCATATTTTGCACTTGGTATCATCATTTTGACTAAAACAGTGGATCAATTCCATAAAGCCAAAATTCAGTTCAACAGAATATTAGTAAACAAAAATAATTAAATGTCTTCTTTTTTTAAATTATAAAAATGCTCAAGTCAGTCAAAACACTACATCCGGTTATATAAGTAAAGATGGTCCCCTGTAAGAGTCAGGAGCAAGGGCATTCCCAGCAGTGCAGGAGGGCGCCCCTTTCCCCACACCCGCGCCAGCGCTTGTTTGTTGATTTGTTGATGGAGCCATTCCGACGGGTGTGAGGTGACAGTTCAGTGTGGCTTTAATTTGCATCTCTGGTGATTAGTGACACTGAGCATCTTTTCGTATGTCTCTCAGCCATCTGTATGCCCTCTTTGGAGAAGAGTCTGTTTAGGTCCTTTGCCCATTTTTTAATTGAATTGTTTGGGGGGGTTTTGGTGTTGACTTTTATAAGATCTTTATAAATTTTGGATATTTACTCCTGTGGAAAGCAGTGTGGAGTTACCGCAAAAAATTAAAAATGGAACTGTCTTATGACTCAGCAATTTCACTTCTGGGAACATATCCAAAGGAACCGGAAACACTAACTCAAAAGAACAGATGCACCCCTATGTTCATTGCAGCATTTTTTACAGAAGCCAAGATTTGGAAGCAGCCCAAGTGCCCATCAGTAGATGAGTGGAAAAAGAAGCTGTGGGACATTTACACCGTGGAATACTACTCGGCCATAAAAAAGAAGGAAATCTTAGAGAATTATGCTGAGTGAAATAAGCCAGTCAGAGAAAGACAAGTACCATGTGATTTCACTTACATGTGAGATGTAATGAACAAAATAAGCTAATAAACAATAGAAACAGTCATAGATACAGAGAACAGACTGACAGCTGTCAGAGGGAAGCAGTTTTTGGGGGGTGAAAAATATAAAAGTATTAAGCAAAATAACAAAAAAACTTCATAGACACAAACAACAGTATGGTGATTACAGTAGGGAAAAGGAGGGGTAGAAGGGGTCGGGGGGGGGGATAAATGGTGACGGAAGGAGACTTGGCTTGGGGTGGTGAACACAAAATACAATATACAGAGGATGTATTCTAGAGTTGTACACGTGGAACCTGTATAATTTTATTAACCAATGTCACCTCAATAAATTCAATAAAAAAAAAAGGGCAAGAGGATTTATTCAGGTTGTCATCAAAAGTAATTTTTGTAGCTACAGAGCTGCAGTCTATTCTGAATGCAAAATGATAAGCAACTTCTATTAAATGTTCGAGGCATTCACATCTCTGAAGTATTTTCAATTAGAGAATCTCAAAACGAGGAGGAAGATGAATGTCATATAATTTGGATATTTCTTGTACAATAGAGCATCAGCCACTGATGTTCATATTCTGAATCCTTTATTAGATTTCTTTTTATAGTTTTATGCAGTAACCTACAGCACCTTATTTTTTATGGTGTCAACATTTATTTCTGGAGCAATCTATTTCCTAAAATATATTATTTTAGGCACACCTTTCATAGCTACTTTTAAATCAAACTGCTGAGATACTGGATTGTCTTAAATGATTAAATGTACTTTTTAAAATCAAAAGATAAAATAATTGCAATTGTGTACGTCATATAATCAAAGAGAATCTTTCCCAATGGTCCCATTTCATAATGGAGTCATTTACTTTCTGTAAATATTTCACCCCACGTTTTAACAATCTTTATTAATTTTTGTAGCTATAGATGAAGAAACAAAATCACTTAACATTAAAGGAGTTTAACACATTATTAGATTAAGGGAACACCTCAAAATATTATTTTTTAAGCAAAGTGAACTAATTTTTAAAATTTTAACTTTTTCCCTAACAACAATTTTCAGAACTTTCTGTTTTTTATTAAAATGAGAGTGACAATTAAATGTTTTCCTTTTGCAATCAGGATACTGTTCTGGACAGATGCCACCCAGTTTTATAGAAAGTGATTTGTTTTTCCAGAGTCATTCCTGGACATAAACACAGTTATGGATCTACTGATATCACTTAGTTTTGATGGAACAGTACAAGAGGATAGATGCTGGACTGTATCAGTTACAAGGAAGTACATAAGTTTCACGTGATAAACCCTGTGCCCATCCCTGCCTTTCTAGCTATACTGTACAGGATGTGCTGGTCTGTATGAATATACAGGTGTTTTGCCTTAACAAACAAGCCTGTAAAGTTAAATTTTCTATATGTTATGTTCTCACCTAAAATGACTATAGTTTTAATGTTTTTTTCTATTCAGAGAATTTATCAGTAGAAATACAAGTTTAAGAAACATTTAGCTTTGAATATAAAGAACTTCCAGATCTGTGTATAACTCGTGAAATCTAGTTGTCAAGGGGCAGAGAGGGAAAGTTTTCTATCTACTGGCCAAATAAGTTAGAAGGGAGATAGTTCAAGTACTTCCAGATATCATGGATGGAGGGGGAGGAAGGAGATGCAAAGAGTGATAATAAGTTTAAGAAAATTGTCTCGATTTTTATTTTAAGTTTTAAAATTACTTCCAAGACAGAACCAGTGTGGCGTGGTTCATATTTTACTTTTAATCTAGATTTTATTTTGTAATTGAATGCAATAAGGGAGCTTATTCAATCTATAGACATTCATTTATCACCAAATTTACAAAAACCTTTTTTTTACTGTGAAGCAGAGATGCAAAAAAAAAGTATTAGAAACAAGGACAGAAGTCCTGAGCCATCATTTTCTGACCTGGAGCTAAGAATTATTTTTGTTACTCTTTGGGTGTCAAGATATGCTATTTAGGTCTTATTTTTAATATAGTTATTATTTAACAATTTTACTTAGTATATTTTTACTTTATCAGTTATTCACCTATTATATCAATAGTGAAATATTGATGTGCATTCTTTGTTGAAATATCTTGACTAGCCTAGGTCCTAAGAGCTTCCAGTTTTTAGCTCTTTCCAAGGTATCCCTGTGTCTGCAGTCCTGCCATTCTCCAGTCACCCCATTTCTGAAGATATTTGAGCTTTCTGTACCTACTCACAAAATTCTGGCCCTCGCCAGAAGTAAAGAATAATACAAAGCCCTGCACTCTAATGTGTCTGTTTCTTCCCTGAAAAAGTTTCCAGCTGTGACTTTGTGTCTCTAGAGAACCATCAGTTCCCACCCTCCCAAATAGCTGTATCTGAGAGAAAAAATGGCTCTTTTTTTCTATGTACATGTTATTCTTAATTCATTGATAGCCACACCCCTATGAGCAGGCACAGATGTCATATGGAGAATTAAAGCATTTCTGGTGTTGGTCAGTTGAGAAGGTGACTTGCTCACTGACTGGACCCTGGAGCATAAGGGCTGCTCTTCTATGTCCTAGAGAGAAGCCATGATTTCCCAGCTGATGGCCAGGAATGTCTAGGAGGAGCTTCTACTCAGCAGGTGTTAGGAAGACATCAGGCTCGGAGAAGACTTTGGGTACTTTGGGTACATGGAAAAAAGGAACTCAGGGTGGTCTTTCTTTTCTCCAGTGACCATTCCAGTCTTTATAAAAGCTTTGGCATTTTCTTTATGAGTGCAGCACATTTCACATTAAATGTAACCCTAGATATTATTCCTTTTGCAATTATCTGATTTCCTTTTTTAAATGTTTTATAAGTTATTTTGATTTGTATAAATTACTCACCTTTTTTTCTAGTGAGTTACCAAATTCTAAATATTTCTAAGTGATTTTTAAATTTTCCCTAACTTAACAGTGGTTAGGGTGGAGATGGGAGAACATAATGGTCTGTGAGACTGACTGAGTTCATTAAAGAAATGGGTGCAGACAGAGAAGGAACAAGGCTCAAGGACTGAGCCCAGGCACCCCAGGGTGGAGGCAGAGAAGGAGACAGGGTAGGAGTGGCCAGTGAGGTCGGAGGCCAAGAGAGGCTGATGTACTGGGAGACAGGTGACACAGCACTCCACGGAAGTAAAGGAGTGACTGCCAAATATCACAGGGAGGTCAAGGAAAATGAACACTGAGAATCGAACATTGGATTTAGAATCACGCACGTCACTAGTGACTTCCACAAAAGCAATTTTGGTGGTACCAAGGGGGGAAAACTTTTATGAGAGTGGTTTCAATATTGGGAAGGAGAAGAATTTGAGATAATAAGAAAAGACAACTCTTTTGAGTTGTTTTGTTTTGTTATAAAAGAAGGCAGAAAATTGGGAGAGTAGCGTAGAGAGGAGTAAGACTTTATTCTGATTCGATTTGGGTTATTTCATTTTTTTAGTATTTTAAGATAATTTTTAAAATTAAGAAATTAAAACTTCAAGATTAAAAAATAGCATATTTGTTTCCTGATAGGAATAGAGAAAACAAACAGTTGAAGAAATGGAAAAAAATGTTCAGAGAAAGGACAGTTTCTGCAATGGAATGCTAAGGCCAGTTATTCTTTCTGAAAGAAACCCATGTTCTCTTGCAACAGAAATGAGGAGGCAAGAAATTCTCCTCCTTTCTCTGGGATCTCCTGGTCAATCCAGTTTTTATCTTCACTTGTTGACTAGAGACCAAGTATTTTCTTCTGGAAATATTGTTTTAAATCTTCAAATATATTTTAGACTCCAGATTTTTAAATTAATGTTATAATTGTACTTGTTGTTTTTAACATACTTTAAATTGAATAATCCGGCCATGTGAAGTCAAAATATCAAATGAAACTCATTACTTTGGCTTTTCAACAACACTGTAATGCTTTATCTCCTTAGACTAATTGGTGTTGAATGTTCTTGAGTCAGTATTTCACTAATCTGAAACTGTGTCACAGAAAGAGTGGATCTGCATGGCCATATTATCTTGTGAATTGTTTTCTTTTCCCCCACAATAGCTTTGTGTCAACATGACCAATGAGAAGATGCACCACTATATCAATGAAGTGCTTTTTCTACACGAGCAAACAGAATGTGTACAAGAGGGAGTTACCATGGAAACAGCTTATTCTCCTGGTAACCAGACTGGAGTTTTGGATTTTTTTTTCCAGGTATTCATATAATATAATTAGTGACTTTACAGAATATGTGCATTTAAATATGCTGGGGACAAATAATTTTCTTTTCAGGGGCTTATTTTTGAGATGTCTTTCTATGTGAGACTCTGCTATGTATTTATAATCTTTCAATGTCAACGGAAGAGCACAAGTTACCTTTTTCTGAAGGGACATTTGAAGGATTACCAATTCATTGAGAGGACAAGATATATTAAATCATTTCATTATACAAATATTCAGCATTTATTATATTGCTAAACTCTCCTTTTGGCATAGTTACAATGCCCAATGAACAAAATTAATATTTTATAAAGTAATATATAAGATAACAAATCATAAAATAAATTCAGAATCTTTTTTATTTATCTTTCAAATTTCTAAATTTAAGTATGAAAAAACTGGAAGAAAAATATATATGCATACATATAATCTTAGAATATCTGCAGGTGTTTCTATTTATCTTTGTTTCAACCTTTCAATGCAAGAATCTTTGCATCAGTATTTCTATTATATAAACAAAAATCTATTATATAAACATCAACCCCTATCTATTAATACAGGAAGACATTATGTAGGTGTACCCATATCTCTAAAACGTGAACATTGTTGAAAACTGATAACATTCAGCTATTGAAGAGTATAGTATTTAATTTCCTACCCTTATAAATTATTTTATGCATTTTCCTAATATTGTAAAATACTCTTGTCCTGCTACTGACTTGTCAGCATTTTTTAAATTACATAAGAAGCCCTCTTCTTCCTGGAAGCCCTCCCTCATCATGATACATATAGTACATAATTTGTTTATTTGAGATTTTTAAAATGTCTTCAAACTGACAGCAATATATACTTAACTGTATATGGAAAGCTTCAGGTACTAGCACCCTCATTCTCATTCGCTGCTACATCCTTGACTGCTACACAGTGGTCAGCAGAAAGATGTTTCTTCTATGTCTTTGGCTGTCATCCCTCAGGTTTCATCTTTGGAATGATTGTTTCAATACTAGGACCCTTACCGGTATGAGTGGGAAATGAGAGTGGAAATTTCGGGCTACTGCTTCTCTTTGATACCCAGAAAAATGGAGTGAAAAGGTGAACCACGTATAGGGTGAAATCTGTAGGTCTATATGCCAGGCAAGCACATACCCAGCAATACAGAACAAGCTTATTGTTTCCTTTCTAGCAACTCCCAATCTTCCACTATTCGCAAACATTTTAATTTTTGCATTTATATTTCAATGAACATATATTTGTCTTGTGTCCCTGAGGGGAGGGTTTCATCCAGATTCTTGCCAAATTCTCCAAGTGTCTAGTACAGTCTGTCCCACACTCAGTGTTGCTGCTTTTCGTTGTTATGGTGAAATTGCACATGATAACCTCCCACATATAATAGAACAATTCAGCCTCTCCTAAGCCTTCACTTCTGAAGGACTGAAAGGCCTTAATCCCTCTTTATTACTTACTTCTCCATGTGCTGTGTTCTTCAGGAACTTCAGCAAGGTTTCCAAGTCAGCAGGTTTGATCATTGCCATTCAGAAAACGCAACACATACGAACTTGGAAGCTTTTGGAGACAATATGAATTATAATGCTTTAAAAATCTATCTTGTTGCTAACCGACCCCCTTATCCTTGTAAAATATCATCTTGCTTTTGGAGCATACTGGTTTAGCTCCTTCTGAATCAATCCCTTCCCTTAAGCTAATTGGGGCCTTGTCTTTGACTTACCTAAACATCCATTGAAGGCTTTATCAAAGGAACAAAAATTCTCACCTCCAAAAGCAGTGTCACTGCCCCTGGATAATGGACATACGTTCACACAGTCTTTAAATAGCCCATTTATCCTTCCACCGTGTGTCTGTATGTGCTGTGTGTGTGTTTGCCTGTGGGTGTGTGAAACAGCATATAGAGAAGGGCCCTGACACCAGGCTCAAATCGATAGATGAAAGAACAGCTTCTGGTATTATAACATCACCATTTTACTTGCTGTTTAGCAAAGAGGCAGCTGTAAATTGAAATAAAGAACTTGATTTTTAAAACATCCAAGACAGGACTGGTCCTCAACAAACTTCTTACACTGACTTTTTTTAAGGCCTCTCCTCATCTGTTTGTATACCTATATATTTTTTTTAAAAAATTTCACCTCTGGGCTCTTTGTGGGGACTCTTTATGGGACCCTTGTCCACAATGAGGTTCTTGTGCTGTGTCATGCAGAACTGCCTGCTAAGATAGCATTCCTTGTAATGAACTCTCTTCTCCAAATTTCCTTATCGAAAGGCATTTTCGTGTTGGTAAGAAATGTTTCTCCAGGTGTTCTAGCTAAGTCGCTAAGGTAGATGAACTTGCTGTTTGCAGTCATTTGCAGTTCCTTTGGAGTGCCATTTCCACCTCATCAGTTCCTGTTCCCTTCCCTTCCTGGGGGCCATGGGCTGCTCATTCTAGAGGTGGCCCCGGGAGTTGCCGGATAGCTCTGAGAGGGCACCCTCTGGTGTGTGGGCCTCCACCAGCTGGACGTTCTTCTCACGTCTGGCACTTCCAACCTTTGTTCCCTATGGGTGACACCAGAATGATCTCAACTTTTGCAGCCCTCAGATAACTGTACACAGTCCTTGGGTTTTCTTTAGTATGAGCAGGAGACTCTGAAAGGCATAAAACAACTAAAATATTTATGACACAAAGAAATGACATTCTATTGTCCAAATAAATGACATCATATAAGGCTGGTGGTGGTATGGTTTGCTCACCTCAAGTCAAAACACAAACTGAGAAATTGCCAGGGGGTCAATATCTCTTCACTTTCTGGGGAGGATTATTTTTTATGGTATTTACACTTTGAAAAGCACACTGAGTTGATATGAAGAATTAAGATGTATGACAGAATAATGTAAATAAATGACATAAAGTATCTTATTTGAAAACGTGTCAACAGAAAATTTTTCCTAGGAAAGAAAAGATAAGCAGCACAGCCCTGATGGGTAAACCATGTGGGCAGGATGGTGGTGTGTGTCTGGGAGAATGTAATACCAGAGGCTGGAAAGTACTTTAAGTAGCATTTTTCATCATATAAGATTAATTGTATATTGTTGCCTACTGTGTTGCTATATTTTCCTTATTTGGCAGCAATAAATTATCAGACTACTAATTTGAATTTTACAAGTCATAGCTTCAAACTTTCTTTTCTTCTAAGTCTAAATATTGGAATATCGTAAAATCACTTCCTACTTCTTGCTGAGTGGGATTTTTTCATAATTTTAATTACTTAACATCATTGTAGGTTTTGGTTTTTGATAAGTAACTTGTCTACCATAAGTATGAAATATTTGATGTGGGCTATAGGTCAAGAAGAATTGCAACTTTCCTATAGTTGGAAATTTAATTTTTTTTGAGATGAGATTATACTTTTTAATAACTTCAGTGTCTTAATGACATTAAGATATACTCTTTCATTTTTTTTATTCATTCCTCTAATTAACAAATAGTATTTAGGGCCTACATTGCATCAGAGTTTTTACTTCAACAGTGAGCAAAAATAGATGTATGTTAAAAGTAAAGACATTTTCTGAGTGCTTTATATGAAATAATGAAAATATAAATGGATCATTTATAAATAAGAAAACCATCAAATTGAGTAACAGAAGAAAAAAATGCTCTCCTCTTAACTTTCAGAAGCCATCTGGATTTCTCTCTTTATTGGATGAAGAAAGTCAAATGAGTTGGTCAATGGAACCAAATCTTTCAAAAAAACTACAAAGTCTCCTTGAATCCTCAAATACCAATGCAGTATATTCCCCCATAAAGGATGGCAATGGGAATGTTGCCCTCAAAGATCAAGGCACAGCATTCACTATTATGCACTATGCAGGACGGGTAAGTTCAAAGCTAATTACGTAATTTATCATATGCACTAATGGACCAAGGAGAAGCTTTAAAGTTTATGATAATTTAGAGTTTATTTTGATAAATGAAAGTTGGGTGTACAACCCACAACATTTTCCTTTTCTAAGCTATTTTCTTCTGGCCTGATAAGGACTTAGCAAAGTTAGAATGTGGGTGATGAAGCCTGCAGTATGATCCTTCTCATGATGATTGGAGAATTATAACTTAATATGAGCCAAAGAAATGTGATTTAATACAAAGAGCTCCTCTGTGAACTTGGGAATATTTTCATAATCCAAACAAACATTGGACACCTGAATTTACTTACCCTTAAAATGAGTTTTAGTATTATTTTTCTTAAAGTATATCAACCTAAGAAAGCTATTTCCAGATCTTGTAATTCCCTAGCCAGCTTTGTGAAAAATGCTTCTTTCTTTAAAACCTTCAAGGAATCAGTCTTACCTGTGTAAAAAAAAATTAGACTACTCCAAGCTGATAATCTCTCTTTTTTCATGACTAATCTGTCACAACTGCCGTATGCAATACCTCCGTTCAGGTTATTATTTTCTGATCCACCCACTGTTTCCCTACATCCCCCCCCATCTCCTCCCTTAAACTCCCTCACATTCAAGCTTAAAATAGCCCTCTTGTCTTCTTCACAAGGTCAAATTGTATCTATCTTTTAATACTTAAAACTATATCCCACTTATCTTCAGTCCAGCTCCCATCTATAGTTAATATCTTCTACTTTTAAATTTGTAGCTCGCAGGTATTTTCCCCCATTTGGCACTTAATACAAATTACATATTAGAGGGTGAAATGTCTCCTCACTCTCTTACACTGCACTCAGTTTATTGCAGTTCACTTCAACCAGTGTTTATTGAGTCTCTTCTGCTCGCCAAACCTAGAGCATGAGAGATTCAAAGGGGAGTAAAACATATTCCTTGCCCTCAAATATCTCATGGTCAAATAAGGAAAAGGAAAATTATCCAATAATTATGATACAATTTGTTTAGAACATTAGTAATATTAACAAAATTCTATAGTACCACAGAGAAGGAAGCAGTTATTTGGCTTTAAAAAAAAGTATAGAAATGTTTTCTAGGGAGATGAAATGCGACCTCAGCCTCCAAGGGTAAGTTAGAGCTTACTAAGAATAAAAGGTAAGGACATTCCAGTAACGACATGGATTTTTGCAAGTGAATGTCATGTGTCACCCTCAGGATTCAGTTGCATAGGACAGAATCCATTCTGGCTGTTAAAGCAGGAAGTAACTTTAGTACAGGAAAATGATTATTGCAAGACTCTAAGCTGAACTTTCAGAAATGACCCTAATTCAAACCACATCACAGAACTAGGCTACCAATGTAGTCATGGCCTCATCTTTGATCAGGAGGCCTCTATCCCTATGGAGAAGGCTGCTACAGGTTAGTGTTACCAACTGTACCAGTAAAATACCCATACCCTGGTACTCAACATGGAAGAGGTCAGTGACTGGGCCTGGAGATCTCCACTGCCAGAGAAAAACACATCTTCATGGCATACTTTCCAGGTAAAACAGCAGAGGGAGCAGATGTGCGGCCTCCATCACTTCTCCTTCTAAATAGTGTGCCATAGTGCTGGGGTGCTGGAAGCTACAGAACAGTCAGATTCTAGCTGCAAAGGAGCCTGGGAAGGGTAACATTCCTGCCTTTCGACCTCTGCAGTACAGGAAAGCAACTAAGATAAAGGCTTTGCACCATCTGCCATATCCAGCCACATCGTAGTTGGGAAATGGTACAAGAAGTTCAGTTAAGTCTGTCGAGCATGGTAGGAGAAAAGTCTAAAACGACTGTTTTTGGCCAAGTCAGGAATAAATATGTATGTACTACTCAGAACTTTGTTTTCTTGACTGACGTTAATTCATCACATGTTTTCAGAGAGGGTGGGGGATGAAGTAAGAAAAACATGATATAAGATAGATTGAGGAAAAAAGAAAAGGGGACTATGGAAACACTCAGGCAAGGACTGCATGTGAGCAATAGCTGTGAGCAGTAGCAGAGGAGGCTTTCCTAAGGAAGGGACTAGGGACAGAGACTGACTGGATGCACAGAGCAAGGGAGGAGACGTAGCTTGAAATAACACTGAGGTTTCTCACCCCCCTTGTATGGTCATATTATGCCAACCACGAGGAGAAATCCTGGAGAATAAGGCAGTTTAGAAGGAAAGAGTTTCAGTTTTAGATGTTTTGAATTTGAGGTTTTAATGGAAATCCCAATAGGATGCTGAAAATACTTGACCCTGAAATGAAAGAGTTCGGTTGTTTTTAGAAATGCGGTCATATTTTTGAAAATGTGTATCTTGATCATTTCACCCAGAAAGGACATGGAGAAAAGAAGGTAGTAGGAAAGACCAGAATCAAAGAAACCTAGCAAAAGGAAGGAGGAGGGGGTCAACAGGAAATGCTCCTGCATGGGACAGTTAGGCCAAGGAGCAGTTTTGTGACAAGTTACAGTAGATCGATGCCATATGATGGCTTGAGTGGTTAATGGATGTAGAGAGAAAGTCAGTGGAAGATTTTATATATAACAGTTAATAACATTCTAGAGCTATTTCTTTTATATTTGAAAGATGTGTGCCTGCGTGCGTGTGTGTGTGTGTTTTACATGCCGTTGAGTTGTCTCCATCTCCTCGTGACCCTATGAATGAGCAATGTCCACAATGTTCTGTCCTCAACAACCCTGCCCAGCTCCTGTAGACTCATATGTATGGCTTCTTTTATGGAATCAATCCATTTTATATTTAGTCTTTCTGTTTTACTTCTGCCTTATGTTTTACTCAACATTACTGTCTTTTCAAAGAACCCTGCCTTCTCATAATGTGCCTGAAGCAAGGCAACTTCGGTTTTGTCATTTTTGCCTCCAGCGATGTTTTAGGATTAATTTGCTCTAGGACCTACTTATTCGTCTTTCTTTCCAGGGTCTGCAGAGCTCTCCTCCAACACTATGAATCATTTTATTCCTATCAGCCTTCTTCAGTGTCCAACTTTCCCATCTGTACTTAGTAATTGGGATACAAGGGCGTGGATAATCTTAGTGTTAGTCTCTAATGACACATCTTTACTCTTGACAATCTTTCCTAATTCTCCCATTTAGCCTTTAAAACTTCTTTATAACAGTAGCAATCTTTTAATCCTTATTCAGATTTTTTAATCTATTTTTTTATATTACACATCTATTGACTTTATAGGATTTAGTTGAAAAATTACACTAATGTATAAGTAATGATTTTAGAAAATTATTTTTCTCTATGTTTCATAAGATCTATCTTTAGTCAGTATATACCTGACCTGTCTTATAAGTCTGTTTGTGTTGCATCTTGGAGAGGTGTTCAATAAATGCTAATTGTGTTAACTTGAATGAGATCCAGCTTTAAAATAATATTTTATTAGTTACTTTGTTTGCTTTTAAAAATTATAAGCACTTAATGAAATTTAAATTTAAATTTTTAAAGCAAATTTTGGGGAAAAATATGAATAGTTTTAATGAATATACTTATTTTACTAAATTCTAATAGCAATAAAGCATAGCAGAGACAGCCATTTGGTTAGTTGCCACAGAGCCAAAATCCCGTGAATCATGGATTTTCCCGTAAAAGCACCTTTATATTTTAAGCAGGATTTTCCATAATTGGAGTCAGTTTTGTGGTTTTATGAAATCTCTCATTTCACTGAGATGTACTAATGAGTCTTAGCTCAAGGACTCCCTAAGGACTCATTCACACGTTACAGTATAGATTATATGTAATTTGTGACAATATGTCAAGCCATATGCCATTCTAATCATCAGACATAGCTACATGTACTTAAATTTTGAGCTATTGCATTTTCAAGAAAAACAGCACATTTTGCATTTTGTAAATCAAGAGATGTAGCAAAGAGTTAACTGGTAGGATGAGCATTCTTCAATAGCTCTTTGATGTTAAAGTCAATCCCAAAGTAGAGCTCCATGGTTCTGGGGTCCTTGGCTTGGTTTTAGCCTCTTCTTTGGCCAGATGGATGGACTAGAGAGTCATTCTCATAACCACTTGCTGTGCTGTGACTGGTTCACCTGGTTTTGTTAGTGAAAACTCACTAAATCTCATAAGAGAGATAAACATTAGTACTGGTGATGATATTGACATCTAGCCCCCCCCAGAATAGACTCACCCATCTCGTTCTGACTATAGGACCCTCCCATGGTTCTGAATATTGTTTGGAACAGAGGCTCAGAGGCCCTTTTAGACATGTTTAAGCAACATTATTTGCATTGTAGCTAAAGATCTTTCCTAAACACATTTGAAATTTTCATTACTCATAGGAGCATGGTGTATTTTCTAATCTCCATTACAGAAATATTTTAAAGTAAATGGGAAGAGGCTGCACATGAAATATTAACAGGGCCTCATTAATGAGCACGAATCTGAATTTAAAAGGTTGTGAGTTGTGTTTTGTTGTTATTTGTTTTAGCAAATTTTCAATCATATAGGGGATTACCTGTTTTAGGAATTGCTCTTAAACTTCTACTGGTGATTTAAATGATGGATAAGCATTAACTTCAGAAGTGTGTCTAATTTTATTGGCTTTTAAAATTAAGATTCTCGAAGGAAAAAAGAATTATTATTTGGCAAAAGACATAGGCTCTTAGGAAAATTTAATTTCCATTAAGGTGATTCTGAACTAACTCTAATGGGAAATAGTATTTTGAAGTTTCTAAATTTTAATGTGAGAAAAGGGAATAGATTAGGAGATGATAAGGCAAACTGAAGTAACAAGAATTAAATTAATGAAAATATAGGTCAAAATTAAAAGTTGTAAAATATATGACTCTAGCTACCTGACCTTCTTTGTTTTTTGCTCATAAGGTCTTTGCCTGAAACTTGTTGTTGTGATTTTATTTTATTTTTTAGCATGAAGTGATTGCCTCTGGATCTCATATATATGTTCCATTCTATTGCTGACCTTCATGGTTTAA